AGTCCACCATTGCTAAGAGTGTTTTAGCAAACAGTTCTTGTGACCTTATTTGTCTTCACTGCGCAGATGGAGAACTAAAGTTTGCTTTTACCTCATTCTTCACCTTTTTTTTTAATTTCAGTGCTCCCTTTTGATGGCCTAGATGCTGTTTAAGCTTGTTCTACCACAGAGATGAGCCAGGCTCCCCTCCAGCCTGCTCACATGGATGGCTTGGGGAGTGCTCCCCATCGGGCTGTTGGGTGGCCAGCTCAGAATAACTGTGCTCTAGGCTGGCCATGGGAAAGGGGGGACCTGAAGGACACTCGGGACACTGGTGGGGATGGCAGTAATTATCCAGTGGCAGGTGTGGGAAGCCAGGCAGCAGTCAGTATAGGAGCACAGCTTTGGAAGGCAGTGTTCTGCTTGGGGAAGGATTTGTTGAAGGGGATGGAGCAAGCCAAAATGCAAGTTCTTGCAGATGAAACAAGAAGTTGTGCTGGAGGAGAGCTCAGAGGCTGTGACACTGCCCCAGGGTGAGGTCGGGGTAGTGCCAGGGGGAGAGGTACTTATCATCTGGCTAGTGACAGGTGTTGGATGGAAATCAGAGGCCAACTCTCAGATGATAGTTCAGATCAGCTTCCTGTGGAAGACGGATGGCAAAGCAGAGCTGGGATCAGATAATGAATGAGATGATAAGAAATTTTCTCTGATAGCCAGGGACAGCACTTGGTGACTCAGGAGGTCCTCACCCATGCTGTGACTCAGGGCAAAGTGTAAAACTCTTCAGCTCTTTGTACTCATCCTCCTGACACTAATCCAAAGAGTATTTCTTGGTGCAAAAGCACCAGGCCCAGCAATTACGAAGATAAACAGACGCCTCTGTTCCCTCCCTTTTTCCGTGTGCTGTACATGGGAGGTTGTAAATCTTGACACAGTGAATTTTTGATTTTACAAGAATATTTTTCTGTCTCGGGCTAACCACTGCGAGTCACCAAGTCTCCAACCTTCATCAGCCCTCACACACAACCCTCTTATCTGAATGAAATGGCAATTTCAACTTGCTGATAACTCATTTGGGACTGTAGGCTAAAACTGAGGGAAACTTTCCGCCCAGGTGGGTAACCATCCCATCCTGCCACGAAGGCACCAGCCAAATGAGTCCTTTGGGCTCTCCTCAAACTCCCTTCCCTGGGCACTGTTAGAGGCAGAAGCGATGGGCAGCTCCTCCTTCTTTGTACTGGAGGACTTGGAAACCAGTGCCCAGAAGATTTGTTGATGTTAGTGAAAAACTGCAAGACAGCAGAGAGAGTACACACTCACATGAAGGGAGGAGGCTGCAAAGGTAATTTGGCTGCTAATCATCCCAAACCAATTTACCAAGCAGATTTTGGGATAGCACTTTTGCACCAGACTGGATTTTCCTCTTGAATCTCGGTTCTTGCTTCTTTCTTCTTTTGAGGGTTAATTCTAAAGCAGGCTGAGAAAATCTTCCATTCTTCTCATTTGCCTAATGTCAGCAAGATTTTATTGCTTCAAGCAAAGAGGGAGGGTTAAGGGATAAATCCTAGCTTATTAATACTTCATATAAGCTTCAGGTACAAGCGAGGGAAGCACGGGTGTGCTTGTCAGGACAGGGTGTGGTAATATTGGGACAGCTTACCAAAAATCAGTAACATTGTACAGAACTGAGGTGAGAAAATTTCCATATGGGAGAAAAAAAATGAAAAACTGGAAATAATAGTGCAAACCCAAGCATGTTTTACATAACTTTGGTCCACCCTCACTCCCATCGAGGTCAACTATAGACTAATTGGTGATACAAAGTGTGTGTGTATATGTATATGCCTTTATGTAATATTTTTCCTTCACTGTTTTTCTGCTTTGCATTTGGCTTATTTGCTGTTTTGCTAAGAACAAGGCTCTAGGGCACCAATTACTTTATAAGAAACGGGGAGTTGGGCATGTAACCTAGGCCCTACAGTCAACAGTTGAGTGAATTTGCTTCTCTTGGGTTTACACTATTCTGTGGAAAAATCCTACAGGCATCATCTCCCTCTCTGAACTGCATATGAGCAATCAAGGGCTATTTAAAGTGCTTGATGATGGGTTCTCCATGGCTACCTAATATAATTTCTTCTTGGTATGATACGATCATTAGAGTAGGTTTTCACAAAACAGTTTTTACAGAAAAACAGATGGCTCAGGCAAACAGTGGCACAAGTAAAAAGATGTATCATAAAAACTATCCAAGAGAGGGCAGTTTCATCTACTCGCACATTTAACATAAACAGTAGAACTATTTTGAAAGTTTTCTTCTATAAATTCTCCTCACACCCAGCAGACTCATATGAAATTCTGTGATGCATCCACGTTTTCCCTCTGGTCATGAAAGTTTAAAAACAAAATTGAAGACATTTACTGTATCATTTAATCTGTAGGAAATCTGTGGAACTAAGGTGTAACATCAATGTGGAAGAGTGTGTGTAGAGGGGCATAAGGGCCCTCATCTGTAAGTCACTCAAGGAATCCCTGTGTAAACAGCTCTGATGGCCCCATCAGACCCATCTGCAAGCTTAAGGTTATCCAGGTGTTCTTCTAAATTTTGGTGCTTAGCGCTGAAGAACTTTGCAGATAAAACCTAGGTCTAGATATTATTATGCAGCTGCACCCGAGTAACAATTTTTTCTTGAAACCAAAATTTCTAGCAGTACTTTGACAGTGAGGAAAAAGATAAAGGGAGATCCACATGACTTCCTCTCTCTCCCCCAGTTATTCACATGCATAGCAGTCTTTCAGTTCTTGGTTTTCTTATTTGAATTTGCAAAATGACTCTGAAGTAACTCTTCAGTTGCTCAGTTTACGATCCTTCTAGTAAGATGGTTTGATTCCCGCTTTCCGACTGAGCGTACAAACGGGCCGATTTTGTTTTCCCTTATCACAAACTTGATTGTTTCATGCTTTTCTTAAATCTACCCATCTTCAGAGCACACCAAAATTCACTGAATGTAGAAATGTGCAAGGAAGTATTCCAAGAAATTGAATTATATGAAGCAATAACTGTTGCAGAACTGAGATGTGTCAAAAGAAAAAAGGAATCTTTTCACTGCGACCATGTTACATACCTAACAAAATGTGATTTAAATATGACCCAGATTCTGCTAATCTGCACACATTGAATAGTCCTTTATTCTGCGAATCATCCTGTCTGCTTCCTTACCTTGAACAGACCAGTGTTCTACTCCAGAAACGAAGAGAGATGCTGGAAGAAGCAGAGCAGCCTGTAGAGATACTATTGATTCCAAGCACATGTGAAAAAAAGGTTTGCACTTCAAGAATGAAATATCAGCCTCAGGAAAATCAATAAATGTATTGCAAGTGATGTCACTTCACTCAGAGCATTAGTTCATTCAACAAAATATGCACAACTTTAATACAGTTGCAACCTAGATTGCATTTGAATTATTGATTAGGAGGTAAGCTGTATTTTAAGACCAAATGGCAGGTGCCTGAAAATGTATAGTGAAAGATGGATATATTTGCAGAGGAAATTGAACAGAGCAAGATGCCCACGTTACACAAGCTCTGGCAGAAACACCAGGAATTAAATTGAACATACTAACTTACCAGTGGAAAAATTTCATTATTTCTTCTGATTTGGTTTGTACCTGTAGGGCTGCTCGACATTCCACTTGTTTTCAGCGCAATTTTTCCTTTGCTTTTCAGTAATGTAGTTGAATGAAATAGAATGTGTTTGTTGGAGGATGTTTCCCTAATCTTAATTTGACAGGAACAACAGCAATGCCTTTGGCAGTCAAGTCTTTACTTCTGTTGTTGTAATAAACCTGATGTTCTTGAAAGGCAAATCTTGCAGACATCTGTTCTTTCCCGATCCCTCTTTAGCATTGCCATTGGGCACAAAGAAACTTTAGGTCTTTTATTGTGCTCTTAGTGATTAAGAGCCCTTTTCTCTTACAGGTAAGACGCAGAGCAAGAGCCCTGCCAAACAGAGATGCAAAACTAAAGGGGTGTCTTCTCTTTCTCTAATTTCTCCTTAGCTTGAAAATCCAATTCTTATGCTTATTCAGCTCAAGTTAATCTTGACAGGCTGAGAGAGTTGGGGTTGTTCAGCCTGGAGAAGAGAAGGCTCTGGGGACACCCTAGAGCAGCCTTCCAGGGAACTGGCCTGGCACGACTGGAAGCAAACTACCCTAAAGGCAGGCACTTAATCCTCAGCCCCTGTGATGCCTCTGCTTGTTGGGTACCCACCTGTCCCCCTCCTTCTTCTTAGAGAAAGCCTTTTCCTGGGGGTCCGGAGCAGGGAGCTGTGCTGGGATCCCTGTGGTCCTTCAACCCTCCTCCTTCCCAGGAAGGGGAAAGTGGCAGTGGGGAACGGGGAGTGGGGCTGTGTCCCACAGAGCCATGGCCACCACCCCTGACACTTCTCTGTCACCCTTAGGGAGGAGGAGGAAGAGGAGGACAAGGAGAAAGAGGAGGACGAGGAGGTGGTGAACCTGCTGAGAGCAGCAAGGGAGAGAAGGGAGGAGGGGGGATGATCTGTCACTGGAGATTTTCTTTGCCTTTTAATTATGTGCTGCTTTCTCATCAAGGTTAGAGTCACACTCCTAAACCTTGTTTTGCACACCTTTCCCCACCTCCAGATGTTGGGTCAGTGTCCAGCTAATGTTACAGAACCTGTAAATGCAATCAGTGGTTGCTCAAGCTCCCTTTGGCTTCCTCAGGGGATTGACACATCCATTGGAGCAAAAACATGGCATGGGACCACACCGACTTCTTTTTCTTAGCCCATAAGCAAACACAGCAAGCCCACTACTCTCAAGGTTCCAGGAGAAAGCTGGAATAGGACTGAAGGATAATACAAGCCGTTGTGATGCTGGATTTGTTGCTCTCCCCTCTCAAAATCCAGCCAGCGTAGCCAAGGGCCCCAAGGTGGTGCCTACGAAGAAGAGGCTTCGGGGTCCACACTTCCCTGCTCTTAGTAAAAAACAAAAGCTAAGACTCACTTTTGAAACAATACACAGGTACCATCATTTATTAGGTATAATAAACATAGTGAAAAGACTCATGATAATTTTTTTCCTGAACATAAAACATTACATAAAGAACTGCAAGCCATTTTATGCAAATTGCTTTCTCAGCTCCCTTTCTTTTTAATTTCCATCCAACTAGGAGACATCTTCTTAATGTATTTGCAAGTTCTTGTCTAACTATTCCCTGTTGCATATACTCTCCCCATTTGTTTGATACACCTCTCATGTTTATTGATCAAAGCTTAAAGTCACTCCATAAAAGTGAATGGAGTTAATAACTTTTAAAAAAAAAAAAAAGGTTTAAGTCCTGTGCCTTTATTAATTTTAGCTTCCCAGAGGTTTTACCAAAATATTTTCCTACCTCTCATTCTTTGCAGTTAAAAACATTTCCTGGGGCTCTTTTCATACAGATAGTTAGAAAATTGCAGATGTGTTAGAAGTCAGTAATCCTCTGTAACTAAGATTTCAGTGGGACTTCTTTTTCCACGTAGCAGAATTATCCATTTCTTTTTTTCACTTAAGAGGAGAAATGGAGCATTATAAATTTAGGATTAACAAGGCAGAACCAGCAGAGTTTTGACTGCACTGTGTCTGGGTTTGCAGCACTGTGGAGTGTAAGATACTGGAAGGTGGTTTATGACCTGATTTTTCTCTATGAGAGCCTTAGTATGAGATGGTAAGAGATACTTATGCATTTTACAGTTACATCTCATGGTATACATTTTCCACTTTTAAAAGACTTACGAACAGCAAACCCACGAAAAAAAAGGGTCTTTTAACAAATGTTTGACACCCACGTTCATATGGCTCCAGCTCCAGTCCTGATGTGTGCTGAGTCCACCAAGGGGAACCATACCTCTGCTGAAGTCCTTCCTGACCCTTCTCTGCTAGATAAAAGAGCTGGACCAGTATGACAGAGCTTTTTAAAGCCATAGATTTTGATACAGGAGGTAAAAGAAGCAGATACCCATGAAGAAAACCCCACCAGCAGCCACTTTGAACCACGTCTGTAGGTTGCAGGGGTGGCTTGAAATCCTCTCTGCCTTTGCCTGCTCCGTGCTGCCAGGATTTTTAAGGGTCTATTGATGGCCTTTCCTTACTCTTAAAAATATTCAGAAACAAATACTTACATTCCACATGGATGGGTAATAGACAAGATGCTGGCTTTGGTAGGGGACTTTCTCTTGTCTTTTCTTACCCTGTCCCTATGGCTTAGATGAATGAAAGAAAAATGGAAGCAAAACTATGAAGTGTTGGCTTCACTAATTTGCTGCTTTGGCAGTCAGCGTTTAAGGCATTTGGCTTCTTGAAGAACATGCAAAATAGTCAGATTAAAGTAAGATGATACATACAAAAGGGGATTTTTGTGAGCTGCTTTCCTTCAGGAAGATGATATACGTTCTTTTGTTTACTGGCAGTTTAAAAAGATTTTCTGAATTTAGTTAGAAATATAAATGCATTTAAGATGCAATGGAATCCACATACACCATCCTCATGGGAATGAATGTGGATACACAAAGGGCTTTTTTAGTGGTTAGACTTTATCTAATAAACCTGCATCAGATATGAAGGTCCAAAATAGAGTAGATAACTTTATTGCAGAATGCCAGTACCATTTTTCTGTACACATTTGAAAAGTTTCCAGCCTTTTCTACTAACATCCAATGACGATATTCTGGAAAACGTAGTTGGTCTGTGATATATCTCTGGAATACAAATGCATTTTTCCTGGTGCTTATGGGGAAGAGTAAAAATATGTGGGCTTCACATTACCCAAGATCTGATCTTCGTAGTTAGGAAGGCAGCAGAAGAAGAATCCCAAGCATATTTCCATAATGGCAGTGGTCCAGCCAAAGCCGTAGGCCCAGCTGAACATATTGATTCCTACCATGTCGATTTCGGAGGAGAACTTTACTGGATAAATGACCAGGCCCATGATGGAGAACACAGCTGAAGAAACAGGAAAAAACAAAAAATGTTTAAGCTAACAACCATCGTGTTGCCTGACTCCATGATACCTGTAGCCAACCCCACCCATGGTTTGGAGGATTTGAAAATTGATCCATGACAGACTTTATATTATTTTTCATGGAGAGTTTAAGTGGATACAAAGACCTGGGTATAAAATCAGCTGAGGGAAACCACAGAATCACAGAATGGTAGGGGTTGGAAGGGACCTCTGGAGAACATCTACTCCAACCCCCTGCCAAAGCAGGTCCACCCAGAGCAGGTTGCACAGGAACGTGTCCAGGTGGGTTTGGAATGTCTCCAGAGAAGGAGACTCCACCACCTCTCTGGACAACCTCTTCCAGGGCTCTGCCACCCTCAAAGGAAAGAAGTTTTTCTGCGTGTTCAAACGGAACTTCTCATGTTCCAGCTCGTGTCCATTGCCCCTTTACCTGTCACCAGGCATCACTGAAAAGAGTCTGGCCCCATCCTCCTGGCACCCACCCTTTAGATATTTATAAGCATCGATGAGATAAATACCAGAGTTAGTATGGAAATACCCGCACAACCTAAATTTGACTGCATATACTTCCTTACCAGCCACAAAAAGCAAGCCTCCGATCCCGCGTATGAAGTTGAACCGAAGCGTGTCAATGGCAAATGCGATGATGGCCAGAGCAAAGCAGATGACTAGAAGTAAAAAGCCGACCAGGTATGTGGCAGCAGCAGCTCTTCCCCAAGCTGAAATCAGAGGGAAGATACATTAGAAAGGAACAAAATTCTCTCTTGCGGTGTTTTAATCTGGTTTATAATTAAATGGGAGAAGAAGGTCAGCTCTCTCCTCTTGTAACATTTGAGTTCCACAAGAAATCATTCACTAATACCTGCACAACCTAAATTTGACTGCATATACTTCCTTACCAGCCACAAAAAGCAAGCCTCCGATCCCGCGTATGAAGTTGAACCGAAGCGTGTCAATGGCAAATGCGATGATGGCCAGAGCAAAGCAGATGACTAGAAGTAAAAAGCCGACCAGGTATGTGGCAGCAGCAGCTCTTCCCCAAGCTGAAATCAGAGGGAAGATACATTAGAAAGGAACAAAATTCTCTCTTGCGGTGTTTTAATCTGGTTTATAATTAAATGGGAGAAGAAGGTCAGCTCTCTCCTCTCGTAGGTGAACATTTGAGTTCCACAAGAAATCATTCACTAAGTGCAGGATGCATAAAAACACCAGATTTGACCTCTGTAGAAAATGCAATGGGGCTCCTGTGCAAGCTTCCTCTTCGAATTTAACGGTTAAGAACTGAGATAAAAATTACTGTACTGAAAGGACACTCTCCTTCAATAACCAATGTCATTGCCTCGGCAGATGCCATAAAACCAGCAGCAATTTGCATGGACAAAGAGAATTAGACTGTCCCCTTTGACCTCTTGTAGAAAATGGAATGGGGCTCCTGTGCAAGCTTCCTCTGTAGATTTAACAGTTAAGAACTGAGATAAAAATTACTGTAAAGACATAAGAAAGGACACTCTCCTTCAATAACAAATGTCATTGGCTTGGCAGATGCCATAAAACCAGCAGCAGTTTGCATGGACAAAGAGAATTAGACTGTCCCTGAAAGTAATTAAACTCTTCCTTTTAAAAAAAAAGTGTTTATACAAGCACTACTACCACGCCAGTATGCAAATTCAAAGGTATGGCAGTGATCCATAAAAGTCAAAATTCAGTGGTTTATGCCTTTTCAGCCTTTGCTTAGCTCTGTGTCCTAAAGGAGCTAAAGATTTGCAATCTGTTTTGTAGGGAAATTTTGATCTGCTTTTGATCCAAAGTGAGAACTGTTTCATTCTGAGAAGCTTGTTCAGTTTATTAATACTTTCATTTTCAAATTATACAACTTTGTGTTACAACATGTCAGATCTAAGCATACTGTGTTGGCATAACAACTGAAAAAAAAAAAAAGGTATTATTTATTCAATATTTTAAGTCTTGAGGGGCAACTACTGCTCAAAGAGATCAAAGTGTCTCCTTTTCTGAATGTAAAAAGACCACTGACAGTTTTTAAATTGGGAGTGGAGATGGAGTAGGCAGTTGACATCTGCTGGGCAACTACAGACTTCACCTCCTCGCCTACGCTGTGTGTTCGTAAGGCGTCAGCTTGTAACCAAATATACAGCAGCAGAGCTGAAAACTTATCACAGCCCAAACAACCCCGACAATAATTATAGCTCAACTAATTATATATGCAGCGCATGCAGCAGCGTTCAGTAAAAGTTCCCTCTGGAACTGAGTAAGTCAAGATTTTTGGTACCCAGTAACACGCCAATTTGTTTGCTTTGAGCATGCAAGTAGTAGGGTGTCCTACCTTCCCCCTGGCCACCATCAGGTAGGCACAAAAGCCACCGTCCTGTCCCTGGCGAGTGACACCTTTCTTCTCAACCTTTCTTCCCCCCAGACCCCACACCACTGCTGCTATTAGACGAGAAATATGGGTCGGGATTTTCCAGCTCTACCTTTCTTCCCATCATCCCAGCAAAACCAATTTCCATTTTTATTTGCTTTTCACCCCTTCTTTATGATCCCTGCTCAATTCTGGCAGTTGCACCATATTTTCAGTATTCTGTCGTGTCCTTTTTCTTCCTTATGCCAAAAAGTTTCTACCTCCTTTATAGGATTTTTCAACTGTATCATTTTTCCTGTAAACAGGCAGCTGCCTGAGAAGACTGAAAGGGACAGCAAAGACGTGCCTACATCTCATTTTCTGGCCCAGTATTTTAGCCCAAACTCTCCTCTTGGGGAGTTTACAGAAGGGTAGACTCAATGTGGTGACGCCAATGGGAGGATGGCAACTCAGGCACAGTACCAAAGGATAAAGCCTGGGAAGAGGAATTTCTCATACTGCCTGGCTCAATTTACCCTGTTGAGGATACTCCTGCTCCCAGCCTCTCTGACACCCCTCTAAAACAGCAAAAAAAGGGCACTTGGCCTTACAGTACCTAAAGGGGGCTACAGGAGAGATGGGGAGGGACTCTTGATCAGGGAGTGGAGCCATAGGATGAGGGGTAATGGCATCAAACTGAAAGAGGGGAGATTTAGATTAGATTTCAGGAAGAAACTCTTTCCTGTGAGGGTGGTGAGACACTAGAACAGGTTGCCCAGAGAAGCTGTGGCTGCCCCATCCCTGGAGGGGTTCAAGGCCAGGCTGGATGGGGCTTGGAGCAACCTGGTCTGGTGGGAGGTGTCCCTGGTTGGAACTGGATGATCTTTAAGGTCCCTTCTAACCCAAACCATTCCATGACTCTAGGGTAAAAGAAGTTGCTCAGCAGGAGTGACCTCACTGCTCTTGGATACAAGGGCTATAACTTTGAGCAGAAGGGTGAAATGACAAGGACATCTAGAGGTGATGGGGTTTGTTGGGTTTTTTTGTTACAACCGGTTGTGGTTAGGTGAAAAACTCCTTGGGTGGAGTTGGGTGGGCTTGGCTGCCCACCTGGGAAGTGCTGAGGCACCTTGAGACCTGGGGGGGTTTTGCCTCACCCTCTGTCAACACATGATGATGTGGCCAGCAGAGGGTCTGCCAAAGCTCAGCCTTGCTTCCCATGAGCAGCTGATGGCAAAGCAGCATCCCACCAGGGCTGGGAGCATCACCTGGGCTGGGGGCTTAAGGGGGCAGCGCCTGGTGGCCACAGCCATGCGTGGTGGCACCTTGCCCATGCCACCAGTCTCCCTCCTCCGCCGGGCTCGCCCAGGTGTTTCTCCTGAAGGGCTGTGACTGTACGAAAGCAGATGGGATGGGAGTGCACACCCTGCCCGCCGGGCACTGGCTGTATGGCAAGAAGAGACATGCAGGGTGCTTTACATCTTTAGGAGGCGTTGCTTAATCACCTAACAGCCAATTTTACAATACTCACTTCTACAAAAAAGAGTTAACTCAACCTTGGGAACAAAAACAATACACAGCTCCAAGTAAGGATTGCAGGGAAGAGTCACTACAGTGTGGGGTTTTTGTGAGAAATGGTACCCCAACTTCATCTTTCCTTTACAAAAAAGTAGCATTTATCAGCTGCCTAAAACCACAGCCTGCAAACACCTTAAATTTCTGGGGTAAAGGACAGCAAAATGTTTTTATAGAAATAATTGCAACTGTTTCTATATCTCAGATGCTTATTTTCCCTTGTGCCAGCCAGGAGCACAAGACTAGCTTAGTGTCTTTACCAATAAAGCTAAGACTTACAATTCCTTTAAAATACCAGACATATAAGAAATTATTTGGTCAGAAAACACGGACAAGCAAGGAGCTAATCTGGTCCCAAATATTTTCTTTTCTTCCATTGTTGTGGGCTTTTTTAGCTTTAACATAAAGCAGAAGCATAAATAAATTGTTCTAACTGCAAAGTTTTTTCTTAAAGAAGTCAACTCCAGTCCAAAGAATCGTCACAGGAGCAACACTCAAAGTACACTTCACCCTAGAGAGAGTCAAGTTGAAAGCTGAAAGGATCCAGTCCACCTCTCATCAAATCAAAAATAGAAACAGAGGGAGCAGCAGGTTATGGGACACCAAGCTGAGTCTGTGAAAATATTCAGGGATGTGTGAGATCTGTTTTCTCAGCCCCCAAAAATAGCAGTGATGTTTTGGTTGTTTAAGAGTTAAAATCTGCTTGTTGGAAAATAAATGTATGTTTATGCAAGAGTGTCCTTGAATACCAGCAGGATCTTGTAACATTTGCCTGCTGGTCCTATTTCTCCCTTTTCCAGCTCCTGCATCAGCTGAAAGAACATGAATAAACACTATGGAAGGGTCTGTAGGAAGCTACACCCTGTCCACTCTTAACAACACCTTCTAACTGGCAATTTTCTGAGCAATTTTGTCTTAAAATAAGACCTTGCTACTCCCAAACGGGCAAAAGAAGCCCATGTTTTGATGCCTATCTCAAGCACAGCAAGGAGAGTGCTTCTATTTACCTATTGGAAGTCAATCAGCAATGATTTGTAAGAGTCCTGACTACCCACTGGTGGGTGGAGCAGTATGTGACTACTGAAAAATGAAAATAAGTGCCAGCCTTCTAAAACCCCCTGCAGTGTGGGAAGACCCCTGAGCTAATTTAGAGACCAGAAAGAGCCCACCTATGCCAGTAGAGAGCTCCCTGTAGCTTATGAGCGTGGTAATCAGCTGAGACAGCATACAATAACAACACAGCTTCATTACTCTGCCATTAAAGCTACCTCAGTTTAGAGGCAGCATGACTACCTCTTGTATTGCACCACCTACACACCTCCTGAACATCCCATTGCTGACTGCAGCCATAGGGAAGCTGATGGACTCCATTAGGGATCCAGGACTAAGAGCATCTCTGGTTTCCTGCCTTCCTGATTTTGCTCCCTGGTACGTTTTCCAGTTTGCAAAAGAGTAAACACTGTCCGTGCTTCACACATGAGGAAATAAACTTCCTTGCTCAGCAGTAAGTGGAGCCAAAACTTTGAACCACCAGATCCAGCCTTTCCTCAGCCTGCTGTGCTTCGTGCTCCAAACGCTGCCTTCAAAAAAAGAGCTGCCTTGCCTTGAAAATAACATGGGAAATCTACTTCCCCTGGGAGAAATATTAATTTCTCTGCTTCTGCTGCATGTGGTTCGAAACATGGGAAAATACTGTCAATGCCGTTCTCCTGTTTTCCCTTGATCTGGTGTCCCCAAACCACATGAACTACAGAGTTTCTCTCTTTGGGTGACCTTTTCTGACAGCAGCCCCAGGGAGTTCAGAAGTCCTTCTCCTGGTCTAATCGATAAGAACATACTTCTGCAAATCTTCCTCCTGGCTTGAAGCTAAAGACACAACTAGCACTGGGAAGAAAAACAAATGTTTATTGCCAGCTCGCAGACACCGATAATTATCTGCAGGTTCTTGCTGACTGATTGTTTTAACACATCATCTGCCGCGGCCGATAGTGCAGTGATTTTAGGAAGGATAGTTTTAATTCAAAAGAAACAGGGAGGGAGGGCGAAGAAAATGTAAAAGGGAGTAATATTTTGCTCTGTTATCCTTCACACCACCAAGGGAAAAAGAAACAC